TTTATTTTTTTTGAGACGGAGTTTCACTCTTGTTACCCAGGCTGGAGTGCAATGGCACGATCTCGGCTCACCGCAACCTCCGCCTCCTGGGTTCAGGCAATTCTCCTGCCTCAGCCTCCTGAGTAGCTGGGATTACAGGCACGTGCCACCATGCCCAACTAATTTTTTGTAGTTTTAGTAGAGACGGGGTTTCACCATGTTGACCAGGATGGTCTCGATCTCTTGACCTCGTGATCCACCTGCCTCGGCCTCCCAAAGTGCTGGGATTACAGGCTTGAGCCACCGCGCCTGGCCCATCTTCACTTTAATGAGAGTGTGATTTATTTGGTTTCTTTTCCTGGTTCCTTATTTCATTTGGTTTTAGTCTTATTTTTTAATAAATGCACTTACAGGCTGAAACTTCAGAGTCTGGAATGGCTCCTCCTCCTCACATCTGGTCCATCAGCAAATCCTGTTAGCCTCACCTGGGACATGCACACAGATGCTGAGAACAGAATGCCACTTCTGCACCCACCCTGGCCCAGGCTGTCTGCGTCTCTCATCTAAATCATTGTGACAGCCTCTTAATGGGCCTCCTGCCTCCAGCTGGGTCTCCTTTCAGGCTACACCCAACACAGCAGCCTGAGTGAGCCACTTCCCCTATAGAGGTTTATCCTATGTAGTACTATATCCTATGTTTATCCTATGGTATTATAATAACATACTTTTAATTTAGGAAAACTTACAGGGATCACTTTGCCTTACTTCTCAACAATTACAAGAAGAACTGTGTGTGTGTGTGTGTGTGTGTGTGTGTGTGTGTGTATGTGTGTGTGTGTGTATAGAGACAGAAAAAGAGCATGCACAATAGAGAGAGGGCACGTCACTCCAGGGACTGTGGCTCTGTGGCTCTCGTTGTGAGGGTGACAGGAGCTGCTGGAGGTTGGTTCTGAGCAGATCCTCACTCTGGCGATAGGGGTGCCCTGTCAAGGACTGGAGCCTCACCAACTCAGATCAGTCTACCTTGGAGCCTCTGTTAGGCTGCTCCTTCTGGGTCTTTTGTCCTTGGAGGCTCTGACCTGGGTCAGAACCCTGCTGTGAAGCCCTTCAAAGGCCACTCTGCTTCTAAGGTGAAGACATATTCCCTGGGCTGTTTCCCAAGCCATGTCCAGCCGTAATGCCCAGCCCAGCACATCAGAGCTCCTGCAGTGAGGTTGGGTGACAATATACTGCAAATACATAAGAAACTCATAATAAAATGCCAGCAACATGGAAATGTACTGGATGTGAATGCAGACCCTCGAGTCCCGGGGAGAAATTACAGGCCAAGATTAATTCTGTAATCAAATTCAAAAGCTTCGAAGACCAAAGGAAGATATGAAATCACATCCCATGACCTCATGAGCTCAGAAGCCACCTCCCCTGCTGTTTTTTGTGGACAGGTGTCCATGCATGATCCAGTCTGGGTTCACACAGCAGCCTTGTCCTCGCTGTGTCTGAGATGTGTCATACAGGTGTCCTTGTAAGTCCTTTGGGGGCCTCAAACACTGCTTCATCCCCACACAGCCTTCCTGGAGCTTCAGTTAGACAAATAGACAGCCTTCATCCCTACAGAGTTATCCCAGGCAGAGTAATATCAAGGACCACAGCAGAGCCCAGAAATGTCCGAGCAAAGTTTGATAATCAGGGAACAACTCCTTGCTTTGGATCTCCTATTATGCAAGAAGGCTACCTTGATTGTCTTGAATTCATGACCTCAGGATGTAGGCATCGTTGGGAATTTAACTTCTTAGGTAAAGGTTAATTTTGGTCCTAGGCATTTACCATTTTAATGTTTGTTTCTTCTCATGGCTTTGACACTCTTTAGTTTGGAATTGATGGTGGCCCTGTTAGTGAAAGGTACCCGCACTTTTCCATAATTAGGTATTGGATCCCCCAGTACTTCTGCTACAAAGTTCCAGGCTTGAGACAGTTGCTTCCAATAAATGAATACCCCCCTCAGAGGTAGACATTACCTCTGGGCAGTTGCAGACCCAAGCAGAGAACCCTGATAAGGGGAGCCCAAAGCTTGGGAAGAAGCCACAATAGCCCAGGTCTGCCTTTCCAGTTCCCTTCATGACCTTGAATGTGGCTTGGAGTCAGACCTAGGCCAAACCCTCCAACTGTGAGAAAATCAACTGCCAGGGTCCAAAGGGCCTGTAATGTGCCCATTTGCTGACAAAGCAGATCTTTTCATCACCAAGTCACTTAGGACATATCATTCCCAGAGCTACCGGTCTCTGCCAACGCCCCCAGAGCCCTTGCCTCAGCTTTCCAGGTACCCTTAAGCCAGGTGTCTGCTGCTGTGTTGTCCCAGTGGTGGTTCACTGGCACTGGCCCAGCCTCTGGGGCACTGAGGATGCCAAAGAACTCCTGTCTCTGTAGAAGCAGCTCTGTACTCGAGGATGTAGCCATCATGGATGCTAGCGGCTTCCAGAGTCACACTCCCAAAGGCTGTAGGCACAATCCTGCACATCCAGATCAAGCTCCTCTAGCAGGTGGTGGCTCCAGCCTGGCCCCAGGCTTATTTTGAACCCCTCAATGCCACTCATATGCTTTATTTCTTGGTGTCCCAGCCTGTAACACACTGTTGGGGTTTCTATCAGCAACAGCCTCCTGCCTGCTCATGTTCTGAACAAATTGAAAGTAGAATGAAGAGGAAGCCTGGGGATGAGAATGCCTCCTTGGTGGCACATGACTGCCTTTAGGGGATGTGCTTAGATGGGCTGGCCTGATGGTCAGTGTCTACTGCCCATGCCCCATACTGGTCCCCAGAGGTCGGCTGAGCTCCAACCCAGTCATGGCCACGCAGGGCAAGCTCTGGAGAGCAGAGAATATGGACTTGCTCCCAGCCAGGCCAAGAGGCAATGGTGCATGCCTTTTGTTCTTCCCATTTTTCTTTCATAGCATACTTTTTTTGGCATAATATTTTTCTGTCCCATCCCTGCAATTTACTCAAATACTAGCATGGGCAGTGGTAGGCATGACAATAATAATAATGACTATAATTTCCTGTACACTCACTGTGCCGAGCTGTGTACTAACCTGTGTGCACCCTTGTAACCATCCCAGGACAACTGTCCTGTTGTGCCAGAACAAACTGGGGCACACAGAGGTGGTGCGAGCCTTCTTGGCCAGTGGCGAAAGTCAGTGAAACATTGTCCAAAGGGGCATGGACAACAGTTTTTGCAGCTACATAGGAAATCTGCAGTGAGGCACTCTGGTTTGTGGCTGTCAGGGCCTTAGAAAGTTCTGCTGGAGTTGAGTTCATGGGTGGTTAGGCTGCAGCTGAGAGCTTGCCTGCTTTAAACATGCAGCACGAGTGTATTTAACATGTGCTTAACCTGCAGCTCTGGGTAGAAGGAATGCTGGGACTTAATATTTAAGAACAACTTGATTATATCGCCATAGAAGCCCAGATGTCGTTTTGTAGATATGCTTGTGTGTATGTGTATGTGTATTTAATGTGTTTATTTTCCCTGGCTAGCATAATTCTTCCTGGGACCTTTACCCTTTGATCTGAACTGGAAAAAATGTTACCATTTTAAGATCTCTTAAAACATGTCTTTGGATTTATCATCTGTACAGATGGAAATTCACATAATAGTTCTATTCTTAACAGAAGAAAAACAGGAAAAGAAAATAAATTTCTTGCTGCTTGGAATGATAAACAAGGAGAAGCATATGCTATATATCCTGGCAATAGAAATTCAAGGTTGGAAATAATTCCTGTCCTCCTGAGCCTGCCTTCAGCCTCCCTGAGGAGTGCAGTGACTGAAATTTTCTACTAATTGTAGCCATAATTTTAGCACGCAATTAAACACATGATTTCCTTCCCAGCTGATGTTTTTTTGGTTAGTCTGACATGGATGAGGCAAAAGCTCTGTAGATTTGAATGGCCACTGTAAGCTGATAGGAGGTCAAAGAAAGTCATTATTTGAGTACCTTTGGCTACCCAGTAGGATCTAGATTAATCTTGCTTATAAACATGGCCAATGGCTTGGGTGCTTCTAATACAATTTCCAGTGTTACTGTCTGTAGGCCAAATAAAGCTGCCTGTTGGCATGCTCGTTTTGCTGAGTCCTTCCAAAGGACCACTGGTAGAAAAGACTCAAGAGATGGAATTTGTGAGGTCGTGGTGGCAGGAACAGAGACTCATGGTGGTCACCCAGGTTGCAGAAGAACCTCAGGGTGTGAGACCTGCCTGTGTCCCCGCAGGCCCAAGAGCAGCGCCTTCCATGGAGGGAGATGGAGGGCTTTATTGCATACAGTGCAAACATGGCCTTCCAGAATGCTCTGTGTTTGCCTTCCCACAATGTACAGTCCCGGTAACCCACATTCTTTCCCATCCTTGGTGTTACCAGACCATTTATTTCTAGCCAATTCCGTTGGGCATGTGGCAGCATCTGTGCTGTTTAATCCTGCATTTCCATCCCTCCTTACAGGGCTGGCAAGCTTTTCCTGTATTGACTGGCTGATCCTCCTCCCAGTCAACCTCCTTCTCCAGTGTGACCCAGGTTTTGTATCATGCTGATCTAGGTGTGTGATGTGCTTTGGCTGTGCCCCCACCCAAATCTCACCTTGAATTGTAGCTCTCACAATTCCCATGCTTTGTGGGAGGAACCTGGTGGGAGGTAATTGAATCATGAAGGTGGGTCTTTCCTGTGCTGTTCTCATGTTAGTGAATAAGTCTCACAAGATCTGATGGTTTTGAAAACAGGAGTTTCCCTGCACAAGCTCTCTCTCTTTTTGCCTGTTGCCATCCATGTAAGATCTGACTTGCTTCTCTTTGCTTTCTGCCATGATTGTAAAGCCTTCCCAGCCATGAGGAAGTGTAAGTCCATTAAACCTCTTTCTTTCGTAAGTTGCCCAGTCTTGGGTATGTCTTTATTAGCAGCGTGAAAATGAACTAATACAGTGTGCTTTTGGATAGAGTAATCTGGGGTCTCCATCTTTGATAACTGTTTGGATTGCTTTTTCAGATGGCAAGTTTGGGGCCTACATGCAGGTGCACATTCAGAACGATGGGCCTGTGACCATAGAGCTGGAATCGCCGGCTCCTGGCACTGCCACCTCTGACCCAAAGCAGGTAAGCCTGGAATCTGGTGCCTGGTTCTGTCCGTTGGGTGCCTGTAACATCTCTTTAGTCCCTGGAACAGTCCTCGGTCTGAGGAAATACATCATTCACGTAACCTATTTATTTTAATACCTGCCCTCCCAAGAATTGTGTTTACAATGTACTCCTGCGTACTGTGGTGAGTGCCTTCTCCTGCCTTTGAATTCCAAAGGACATGTCCTGTGCAGAGCCACGTTCTTCCTCTGGGCTTCTCTTTCCCTATCCAGGTACCATGGTGCCCACCTGCCCCTGGGTGGCAACAGAGCAATGGCCCTAGATTGGCTTGGTAACCCATTCCAAATGGTTACCTGAAGTGGGTTTGGTCCCAGGTGTGGGTAGATGTAAATCCTCATTTTTCTAGAGCAACGTCTGACCTGGGTTTGCTGCCAATTTGTAAGCTTTCATAAAGAAAAGGAATTAAAGTAGAGAAAGGAAATGTGTAATAGTCCTTGGAACCCATGTAGTCTCACAGATGCTTAGCACACTTGTAAATGCTTAATTAATGTACTCACTGGATAGAGACACGTAGGGCCTGGCAGGCTGTGACGGGCAATGATGCAGTGGTAAGGGGGCAGCACGATAGAAACTTGAAGCTGGGCACCTGTTCAAAGCCAAGTTGTTTCAAAACCAACCTGTTTAAAGACAGGGTCTTGCTCTGTCACCTAGGCTGGAGTGCAGTGGGGCAATCATGGCTCACTGGAGCCTGGACCTCCCAGTCTCAAGTGATCCTCCTGCTTCAGTCTCCTGAGTAGCTGGGACTATAGGGATCTGCCACCATGCTGGGCCCAAATTTGAATTTTTGTAGAGAGGAGGTTTCACTGTGTTGCCTAGGCTGGTCTTGAACTCCTAGGCTCAAGTGATCCACTAGGTAGGGCCTTGGCCTCCCAAAGTGCTGAGATCACAGGCAAGAGTCACCATGCCTGGCCAAAGCCAGATATTTTAAGTTGAATGTAATCTTTTCTTTTTGTTTCTGTATTATTTCATTCTTGTACTGCTATAAAGAAATATCCGAGACTGGGTGATTTATAAAGAAAAGAGGTTTAATTGGCTCATCATTCTGCAGGCTATATAGGAAGGATGGCTGCAGAGGCCTCAGGAAACTTAGAATCATGGTGGAAGGTGAAGGGGAAGCAGGCACATCTTCACATGGCCAAAGCTGAAGGAAGAGAGAGCAGAGGGAGTTACTACACACTTTTGCACAACCAGATCTCATGAGAACTCACTGTCACATGAACAGCAAGGGGGAAGTCTACCCTCATGATCTAGTCACCTACCACCAGGCCCCTCCTCCAATGCTGGGGATTCCAATTCGACATTAGATTTGGGTGGAGACACAAATCCAACCATAGCAGTTTCTGACTCTCTTTGTATTGAGGAACATGTCTGATGCAGTACGCTAGACTTCAGCGGTAGTAACTGAGGGTCCTGGAATTACTAATGACATTAAAAAAAATCACAAATGGCGGGGCGCGGTGGCTCACGCCTGTAATCCCAGCACTTTGGGAGGCCGAGGCGGGTGGATCACGAGGTCAAGAGATTGAGACCATCCTGGTCAACACGGTAAAACCCCATCTCTACTAAAAAAACTACAAAAAATTAGCTGGGCATGGTGGTGCGTGCCTGTAATCCCAGCTACTCAAGAGGCTGAGGCAGGAGAATTGCCTGAACCCAGGAGGCGGAGGTTGCGGTGAGCTGAGATCGCACCATTGCACTCCAGCCTGGGTAACAAGAGCGAAACTCCGTCTCAAAAAAAAAAAAAAAAAAAAAATCACAAATGAAAAGTCCACCTGAAAATGTAAGCATTTTATTTTGAAATAATTTGAGACTTACAGAAAAGTTGAATAAAAGAGTTTTCATATACTTTTTTATCCAGCTGCCTCCAATTTCAATGTCTTACATGACCATAACACGATGACCAAGACTTTGAAATTAATGTTGATACAGTACTATTACATTAACTACATTGCAAACCTTATTTGAAGTTCACTAGGTTTCTTAAATGTCCTTCTTCTGCTCCAGGATAATGCAGGATTCCACACTGCATTTAATTGTCACTTCTGCTTAGTCTTCTACAATCTGTGACTGTTCCTCAGCCTTATCTTTTGTGACATTCACACTTTTCAAGAGCACTAATCTACTATTTTGTAGAATTTTCTCACATCGGGTTTTCTATGATTATATTGAGGTGTAGTGTATGTTGATAGGAATAGGAAATAGCACAAAAGTGATCTTGTTCCCTTCGTGGTGCATCCTACCAGGAGGTATGTGGTATTAATTTGTCTTATTACTGGTCATACCAGCCTTATCACTTGGTTAAGGTGAAGTCTACCAGATGTCTCCATGTTAGATGAAGTTCTAACCTCTCTCCCCTTGTCTGTCCCTGGCTCATTCACAGCAGACAGCTTTCTTTTGGCTTTGCAGGAAAATAAGCTAGCAGATGGCATTGACCCTGCTTCTCCATCCCCCTCCTACCACCGTGGTAGCAGAGCTGCCGTTTCCTGGGCTCAGGCCAGCCTCTCCCCTGGGCCAAGATCACCTACATAATTTGAGAGGCCCAGTGTAAAATGAAAATGTGGGGCCCCTTGTTCAAAAATTATTAAGAATTTCAAGATGGTGACAACAGGGTATAAAACCAAAGGTGGGGCCCCTCTGAAGATGGTGCCCTGTCTGACTGATGGGTTGCTTGGCTGTGGGGCTAGACCAGCTTGGGCTTTGGAGCTGTCCCCTCCTACCTCCTCAGCAGCTTCACAGAAGCCCTCTGTCTTCTTGTCGGGTCAGTCTGCCTCTCACGGTCATCCATCTTACCCCATTGGCTTTTAAATATGCCCAAATGTCTCCAGTTGAGAAATGCCTCCATTTCCTCCCTTCTGCTCTGCCTCAGCGTCCTTGGGTCTGTAAAGGCTCTTGCTGAGGGTACCAGTGACCTCACATTGCTTTATTTCGTGCCCATTTTTCAGAACCCCTTTCTTGCCACTGCTGCACACTTGCCCCTGGAAGTGGCTGGAGTCTTGTTTTCCAGAATGCCATTCTCTCTGGGTATTCCTTTTGCCTCTGGCTACCCCCTCTGGTTTTGTTTGATCTTTGTTCCATAGTTTTGATTTATTATTCTGCTTTAACTCTATCTGGAGAAAAATTTTAGTCTTTTTTTCATTCTAAATATTTTTCTGGAAATGGTAGAATAATACATTTTGCCTTTAGAATCTTCAGCTTTCTTTCAACCAGTACCCCTTCTTTTTTAGGTCAAAGGGTATAAAGATGCAGTTATTTCACATGAGTAAGCCTCGAGACCTAATGTACACCACGATGACTGCAGTCAGTAGTATCATATTGTGCACTGGGAATGTGCTAAGGGAGTAAATTTAGGAATTCTCAGCAAGCACAGAATAAAGGACGGTAACTGTGTGAGATGCTAGACTGTAATTTACTTGACTGTAGTAATCACTTCACTGTGTGTGTAGATCAAAGCATCATGTTGTACATCTTGTTCCATAAACTCCCCTCCCTAAATCAAAAAATCCTCAAGTAGGCATTTTTTTAAACTTCTAATGAGCCATGTTAACTTATAAGGATAAAAAAGACTTTTATTTCTGAATCCTTTAGGAGTTTTCTCTTCAAATACACGAATTGTCTTGCATCAATTTCATTTACGTGGACTAGTTGCCTGACCCCCAGAAGCCTCAGACCCTGCACGTTGCATTGCGCTCTGCCCTCAGCTGTCCAGTAGGTGGCGGCGGATAGGCGCGGAAGGGGCCCGCTTTAGGTTGGTGCTGGCCGGTGCCTGGGGCTTCTCTCCGCCTTTTCTTCTCAATTAGGAGGAGCTTCCTTCCTCTTGGATCAAATAGCTAATTTGCTTGCTTTTGTGTTGACAGGAAGAGCACAGCCAAATTCTTTTTACTGATAGATAAACATGTGTTTCTATCAATTAAGCTTTTAATTCTGTGTTTTATTTTTCTGTTATATTCCAGTCAGTAATGAAAACTGCTACAATTACATTACAGAAAAATGGTTCTTTTGGCAGATTTCAACATTATACAAAAATGATTGTTTTAGCAGGTTCTTTTAAAATATAAATAAGTTCTTTGAGCAAATGAACAATGTATGTGTGTGTGTATATGGATGTATGTGTGTATATGTGTGCATATGTATGTGTGCATATGTGTATGTGTGTGTATACGTGTGTGTTTGTGTATGTGTGTGCCCATGTGTATGTGCATGTGGGTGTGTCTGTGTATGCATTCGTGTGTTAGGTAAGCATCAAGTGTCATTTTGGTATGTGATGGTGTGCCAGGCACTGTGAGGAAGAGAAGGAACTGCTGCTGCCCAACCTGTGCAGCTGGGGATCGATTTTGGGCAACATAAACCTGAAGGGTTAATGACAGTGAAAGGGGTGGACAGCATAAGACAACTTAGGAAAGGTCACAAGACCATGCAGTTCATGCTCCTCCTTAGAACTCTTCAATGCCTTCCAAGTGCATTTTGCCGGAGCCTTGCACTCCTTGCTGTCATTTCCCAGGGCCTGAGTGACCAGGTGTCCGTGGCCCTCTCTTGCTCTGTGGCTGTCTTTCCCTCTATCCCTATGCTTCACCTACTGCATCTGCTGCCGCCTCCTCTGCCTTGCTGAGAAGAAAGTCAAGCTCTTTCTTACCTCGGAGCTCTTGTCTCAATTCCAGGGTCTCCTCCTTCTCTAAGATTCTGTGACCCCTGTAGTTCCTAGGAAGCCCCATCAGCTACACCGCCCTGTTGGTGTGATGGTTTATTTTACAGACTTCACACCATCTGCTATCATGGTCCACACCACTTGTAAAACTCAAGCTCCCTGAGTGTCATTCACTGCCCTGTCCCAGGAGGTGTGTGTGGGTGGGAGGGGTGGTGTTTGTTTAGCAGTGGTGCTCACAGCTGGTGGGCTGTGGTGTCTGTGAATGTCCCAAGTTCAGAAAAGGCCATTGCCACTGCTGTTGCTGCTCAGCCGGGTG